GGCCCGGGGCGCGGGCTCGGGGCCGCCCGCCCCGGGGCAGGGGACGCGGGCGGCGCCCGTGGCTCACCAGCCCGACTGGCGAAGGTGTTTGTGGGTCCGCATGACTTCCAGGCACCGAAGATCCTACGAGGTGCCCCAGGGATAGATGTCAACAAAAAGGGACCTCATCAGCCACCGAGCCCCATTATATTCCAAGGACAGTGTCAGGGCCGCCGCGGCTACTCGGGTTCGCACTGGTGAGAGGCAGTTCTGACGTTAGGTGTCGAACCAGAGGCACCAAAGGGGCTGCCAGGGTGCAGACCGTTCAGATTTGCATGCCGTTTCCTGCAGACCGTGAGGAATTAAGCCCGGGTGGACCTCTCCATCCTGAGGCTCCGCGTCTGTCCTCTGGGGCAGCAGCATTTGCATATTTATTTGAGTTTCCCAGGCCGGGCGGTGTGCTGCAGCGCTCAGGGCGCCAGGATTGCTATTTTTGTTGTTCCTGTGCCCTGCCGTGGGTGGGTCAGAAGGTCAGAGTAGGAATTCAATGGGGGGTTGGTGGGGTGGTGGCCGCGAAGGCCCGCTTTGCTGTTCAGAGCTTGGGGCCAGGGGAGGCCTTGGGTGATGACTGGGACTAAATGGGACGTCATCCCTCTGGCGACCCATGTGCCAAGACCCTCAGGTAGGGACGATTTGGCCTGTTTGAGAACTGACTAGAGGACGGTGTGGGCGGGCCACTGCCAAGTTCAGGTGAAGGTGGGTGGAGAGGGTTGAGCAGAGATGTAGGAAACGAGGCTCAGGTTGGATTCTTTAAGGCAGGACTCGGGATACTTGCTGATGAGTGGGGGGCAGGTGACTTGGTGGATTGTGGGGCCGTTTGTCAAGGGGAAGAGGACGGGGTGGGACGGATGTGGCATGGAGAATGTATCGGGGTTAGGCTCAGATGTGTCTCTGATGAACAAGATGGGGTTGGGACAGTAATCTAAGAGCCTGGAGGGGAGGCCACTCGCCTTAGGCAGACATAGGAGCTGTTAGCGCACGTGTGTGACTTTTTGAGGGTTGGGACTAGAGGAGGGTGTGAGTGTAGCCAGGCTGCAGCCAGCCCTGGGGCAGGTGTGCAGAGGGTCACCAAACCTGCCATCGAGATCCCGCTCTGAAGCCTCCCGGGGGCTCCCATGTACCCGAAGGGACAGTGGGGAGCCCTGACGTTGGCTTGGAAGGCCTTACACTCCCACGGCACCCTCTAGCTCACCGGCCGCACGGGCCTCCTCCTTCCTCTGCCTCGGTGGGCCTGCCCCTGGCCTGGGCCCTTTCACCTGCCGTCCGCTCTGCGCACCCCCGCAGTCCCCTGTGGTGACTGGAGTGGAGGCTCGTTTTACATCCTGCCATCCCTTTCTACACTCCAGAGGCTGACTTTAGAAATCCAGCCCGAGTTCTGGGTGGCGTAACTGGGGAGAAACGATAGTGACACGGGGACTAATGGTTCTTCATTGCAGTCGTGCCTTCCCAGCATGCCGCTGGGCCGCAGCGAGAACGGGAGGTTGCTCGCTGTCGCAGCTGACATCTGTCTAGTTTTGATACAGCGGTGATGGCCGACGAAGAATTGAGGAAGTGTAAAAGTGTTCGTGCACATCTAATCTGTGAGGCGCAGACGTACCAATAATTCTAACTGCCAGAGTCCTTGGCACCAAGCCTTGTGTCACGTCGCCTGGTCTCGGCTGAAGGTCTCCTCGAGTTCTAGGTGGGGCTGAGCCAGATTAAGTTGAACCCGACCCGAGGGTGCCCGCCCCAGTCGCCTAAGTCCTGATACGGCAGGGACTCCGCCGTACAGCCTTACACTCTCAGTTTTGATGACAACGTGACGTGTCCTGAGTCATGACTTGCGTGCATCTAAGAGCGAACAGGAGCCCTTGTCAGTTAGGTGCCTTTCGGTGCGCCAGTCACTCTGCTTAGCGTTCAGTGTATTTGAAACCTTTTGAAGTCCTGAAAAAAAGTAGCGCCCGTCGTTTTGCAAATAACAGAGCAGGTCGTGTTAGACGCGTTTCTCGGAGCCGAGGGTGGCCCTTGGCTTTATCGGCCTTTCCCCCCAGCAGACTTTGTCCCCGTGGTCTCGCCAGGCTCTCACGCCGGGTGCACAGCGAAGCTGCCTGAACGAAGCCCGGTCGGGCTGTAAACGAGCCGCCCAAGCTCTGAGCCAGGAGGTTGTGGGGCAGGGACGACCCGGGCCCACTCCCCCGGCACCCTCCAGACCACCTCTGCGCACTTCCCGAGGTCCCGTGTGCGAGGACACCGCGCTCGCGCCAGGGTCCAAGCGCGCCTTCTCCCGATTGCAGCTTCACCACGCCCGAAGGCCCGAAGCCCCGCTCCCGATGTGCGGACTGGGCGAGCGCGGTCGAGGAGGACGAGATGCGGAGCCGCGTGAACAAGGAAATCGCCAGGTAGGCGTCCGGGCCGCTCGGGACGGGGTCCCTGCTGTTGTGACGCCGTGTCAAGTTTGGGGCATGCTTGGGGCGGTGGTTCACGCGAGCCTGGCCCCAGGCCTGCGGCTGCCGGGGTCTGCCGTGTCTCAAGCGCTCCGGGTGAGGGTGCTCACTGCGTCCGAGGATGTGTGCCGGGGCTGGCTCCCCCACGTCGGGGGCGGCCTGCTGAATTGCGGGCGACACTGACCACCGTGATTTGCTCTCGCCTGGCACGCTTGGTGCCGCTCCCGGCAGAGCCGCGGACATGCTCTCTTCACGTAGGGAGTACACACCTGGCACCAGGCTCAGGTGACACCTGGAGATGGCCAGAGCGCAGGGAGGGGTCCCTGACTTGGAGGCCGCGACCCCCGTGCAGTTGTTCCCAGAGCCGTGTGTATCAGCCGCCTCTCCCTGGACTCGCGGTTCGGGTGCTGCCTTCCTGGGTGACACCCTCCCTGGTGTTGTGGGCCTTGCTGCCTCAGGCGTGTGCCACCTGGCCTGTCCAGCCGGTTGGACTCGGGTTCAAATGTGGTGGCTGGGCTCAGAGTCAGTCGAAGTATGTTGAACCGAGTCTGTCGGTTCTCCATTCCGATGACGGAGTGTCCTGGGTGTCGGCGAGGAGGCAGGGCCAGCCTGCCACCCGCTGGTGCCATGCTGGACGGGGTTTGTCACTGCCTCCTTTGGAAAGGCATGGCACACACGGGGTGGATCGTGCTCGTCCAGGGGCCACTTCGTTTCTTTGAGGCTTCAGGAGGCGTGTGGGGTGTGCAGCCTGTGCCCGGGATTGGAAGACACGGCCCATGCTCTGCGCGAGCCGTCTGCTCAGATCGGTCTCAATTCAGTCATCTGTGAAGTTAGGGTCTTTGCCCGGATCCGTGCGGTTTCTCTTTTCTGCCCCCAAGGCTTAGACCAGCTCCTGCCCTGTACCTGTGTCCACCCCTCGCTGGGGACCGTCCGCAGCCCTTGCGCTGTGCAGGGAGACCCTGTCCGTCTCAGCCCTCCTGCTGGTGGACCCCTCTGTGTTCCTCAGCTGTCCCACAGGCCCGTCTCTGAAATGGTCCTCGTTTGCCAGACAGGCCTGCTCTGTTTGGGGCCACTGTGCTGACCACACCCTTTCCGAGGGAAAGCTGCTCAGTCACGCCCAGGTGGTGCGGCCTGCTGGGATGCCGACGGTGGCGGGCTGCCGCACTCTGCCAGGAAGCGCTGAGAATCCAGCTCGCTCCGCTGCAAGGAGGACGCTGCACTCCAGCTGTCTGGGAATTTGAGAACGGGTTTTAGTTACACCTGCGGCTGCTCTTTTCAAGGGGTCTTGGAAAAAATGAAATCTTACAGAAAATGATTTGAGGGACTAGTCCCGGTGATCACAGCGTGCTCCATAACCGGTGTCCTGGACACACAGGAGATGAATTAGTTGCCCACCTCCCGGTGTCTGAGACTGCACGGGACGCCACGGCAAACTTGGGGTCAGGGGCGAGGATTTTAGATTTCGGAAGGAGACGCAGTGGTTCCGAGCATCCGGACACGTGTGTGAACTCCCAGAGGTGGTTCTTCGCTTCTTTCCGGGACATCCCTTTGCAAAGCCGGGTCTTGGTCGCTGCGGTGACGGGAAGCCGATGGCTTGTGAAGTTGTCCCCGGTCAGGGCTGGTGGTCAGCCTCCTCCGACCCAGAGAGCGGGGCAGGCACACCGCCCCTTCGCTGCTAATTGTGGGATGAGAAATAACCCTTTATTTTAGCCTAGGTTTGTTTGAAGGCGACAGAGTGTGGGGATGTAAATATCTAAGCGCGGACCTCACTGCTGGGTTTGGAGCTGGGGCTGTGAGCTTTCTTTGGCCTAGAGAAACCTGCATTATGAGCAGTGCTGCCCACGGACACAGGGTTAGGGACACAGGGTTCAGCCCGATGCCCCGAGCACCTCACCGCTCTCGGCAGGTAGCTTTTGTCTTATTGAGAAGGCGCCTGAGGGAGGTTGAAAATAAGAGAAACCACATGCTCTCACCCCACTCCATTTGTGCCACCCCGCTCAGGAAGAGGGCTCTGCGTCCCGTGTTACCTTGTAGTTCTGCAGGCATTAACTCTTCTACCTTTTTAAAAACAGCAATGTTTATTTCGCTCCTAGGTATAAAAGAAAACTCCTCATAAACGACTTTGGAAGAGAGAGAAAATCATCATCGGGAAGGTAATGCCACGTAAATGTTTCTTTTCTAATTGGATAGACCTGTAATTTATTAATGGAAAAAGTCGTGGACGCGATGCCGATTGTCTCGCTAGCACTTCCGGATTAGTCCACTGCTCACTGACAGACCGTGCGTCTGCTGTGCACTCAGCTGCCCCACCCGTAGCACGGTTCCGGCCTGCCCGGGGTGGGTAGGGTTTGGAGCCCAGAGGACAGAAGCCCTTGGTCTTGTGTGTCTGTTTCCCCGCACGGCGATCTTAGCCGCGAGGCTCGTTGTGTTGTTGATTTTGGTTTCTTCAGTTCTGACTCGAAGGAGTCTGCGTCTGCAGTGCCCGCCGACCTGGAGACGGACGAGGGCGTCCTGATGAGGAGGCAGAAGCAGATCAGCTACGGGAAGAACACCCTCGCCTACGACCGCTACATCAAAGCCGTCCCGAGGTCGTCTCGCCCCTTCGGGATGCCCCCACCCAGTCACAGTGACAGTCCGGTCGGAAGGACCGCGTAGATGGCAGACCCGAGTCTAGGAATAGGTCACCTACTATGAACTATTAGTGACTTTCAGGCACTTATAGAAATAAGAGTGACTTGGTGACTAAAGAATCGAGGACAGGAAGATTTAAAAAGTAACACTTTCACTGTTTAGAATATTGGACGACATTTCATTTTCCAGGCCCCAGCCGTCTTCGTGTGTGAAGTTTATTAAAATACACGATGGGGAAGGGTGCGGTTTTAACTTGTAGATTGTAGAGACCTGACTGGGGACAAAAACGTGCAGTGCCCCGTGTGGTCCAGGCCGCGTGCTCTTGCCCCCCCGCCCCCGCACGGGGACACCGGGCTCTAGGGAGCGTGTCCCGTTGCAGGACTGAGATGCGGGTGTACTTTCCCGCAGCACAGACCGCGGAGGAGCAGGGAGTCGTGCGTGCTTCCCCTCCGTCACGGCCCATCCTGCAGACTGTCAGGCGACCTGTGCTTTGTAGAGAATGGTAATCTCAGAGCACTTGACCTTCAGGCTGTGCAGACGTGCGTGGTGTGTGCTAGGGTAATGTCCCTCTCCTGCAGACACCTTCGACAACCTGGCATTCATCCCAAGACCCCCAACAAATTCAAGAAGTACAGCCGACGGTCGTGGGACCAGCAGATCAAACTCTGGAAGGTGGCTCTGCATTTTTGGGATCCTCCAGCTGAAGAAGGATGTGATTTCCAAGAAATGTATGTCTGAACTCTCTGTGTCCCTTGTGTGGCAGGCGGGTCATCATGATGTGAAGCCCCCCCGAAGTTCCAGGGGGAGAACAGAGCAGCCGCCTGACGTGGCTGCACGTCCGCTCTCTGAGCGCGAGTGTGCGGAGCTGGGCGGGGGGCGCTGGGGGTGGCCGGAGGGAGGAGCGTGCTTCCTGGACCGAAGTTACCTTCGTAGCTAGAAAGAACGGAGCTGAGTAAACCTGAAACTACGTGGGGTTTTACTTACTTTTAAGATAAACATTCCAAAAATTTGTCGAGTCATTTATTTTGAATTGTGAAAATAAAAGGCCTTTTTTTAAGCTGAAGAAGGCTTTCGTCTTTCCCCGTTGGCTCTTGAACTTGTGCCTGGTGGGCGAGGCCGCGGGCCGACTTGCCACGTGGTCGGGGGGCCGTGGCCTCCCGCCGTCCAGTTCCTCTCCTCGGCCCTTCTCAGCCTGAGCCCCCCCCCCCGCCCCAGACACATTTACCTCTTTGGCACGTTTGCTTCGTGCTGGGAAAATTTATTAGAAACCGTCACGTTTGGAATGATCTTAACGTGGCTTTACAAATTTGGCCTTGCAGTTGTCCTACCGATTTCTTTCTAGTTGACTCTGTTGTCCTAATCTCTTTACGAGGACAAAATGGGAAGGAGCGGGGCTGTGTGGCGGCAGCTCACAGTGTCCGTCTCATCAGGATGGGGCTCGGTGTCGACCCTTCTCTTCAGGTGGCCCGTGGGCCTGGGTCGTTGCTCCGGGCCGAGAACTGGCAGAGCGCGGTGGGCCCCCAGCCCGGGGGTTCTGCCAGCTTTCCCCCAGGTCGACTGGCGCATGGGAGTCCCTGAGCGCTGTCGGGTCCACCGGGGGCGGAGGAGACTTGTCAGCGTCCTCGCTGGCAGCGACCTGTTGGGGGTGTGTGTTGTTAGGGAACAGTCTGCCTCGTGTGTCTGCTGGCTGTGAGGGGCGGTGCCTGACACGCTTGTTTGCTCTTGCAGACACCCCGTGGACCTCGGGGAGATGGAGACCGAGGCCGCAGAGAGCAGCTCCGGGTCCCAGAGCAGCTCCCAGGAAAACCTCGTAAGTGCCCCCCCGGCGTCGCCCCCAGCGTGGTGGTGGCGGCTACCTGCGGGCAGTCCGTGCCGCCTGATGAGCTGCTCTCCGCTGCAGTTGGGTTTCGATGCTTCCGAGGAAGGGGCTCCTCACCCCTGTCTTGGTGCCGTCAAATGCCGGCCGTGACAGATGCCTGGGCAGCGGCCTCAGCAGGTTTGCGGTTCGGTCCAACCGTTTCCATTCGGAAGCGAAGGCCTTTCCGTGCGGCTCCGGCTCTGTGGGCGCCGGAGCCATGTGCCGGTGGGTACAGCAAGCAAAGCGGTGCTGTCAGCCAAGGGGCTTCCCGCACTTGCCAATTTTAAAAAAATCACGTTTTCCAGGAAAGAAATTCAAAGGTTAAAAGCAATGTGCAGGGGGCGGCTCCGTCGTGCAGCCATGAGCACGTCTGCCTTACACACGGAAGGTCCTGGGTTCGTGCCCCAGTGGAGCCGCGGACCATGCCCGGGGTGCGCCGGGCCCCGGCTGCACGCCGCGAGCGTGTGGGAGGGGACCCCCCGCCTTCAGAGATCCAGCTCTTAGGGAAAGGGGAAACGGCAAAAGCCGTGGCTCAGGCGTGGAAGTGGGCGCGCGGGGCGTCAAAGGTGGGGAAGCAAAGCGATGCGCAGAAGCGCCTCACCTTTAGTTCGTGGCTACCGGTCAGGTGCGAGCGAGTGCGCGCCCGCCGCCCACGACGGAGCGGGCCCCTCCTTCCCATGAAGGGGACCTCCCCAGTGTCTGTATGTGGAAATGTGCAGCGTATTAAGTGTAAACGAAAGATTGGACACTAGAACACAGACGTCTGTGACAGGTTCACGCCCTGTAAGCCCGCCCCGCACCGCGCCTGCGCCCCAGTTTTGAGGGCCACCTGCAACCGTGCACTGTCTGTGACTGACGGTCTGCGACAGGTTAGAGGTCACACAAATGTCTGACGGTGGAGGAAAGGCAAAATCGTGTTTGTGTCACAGGGACGGCTGCCACAGGTTGATTCTGAAGACGGACGATGCAGGGAAATTGTTGGGGTGAATAAAACCAGGGTGTTTCACGCCAGGACGGCCCCAGCCGTGTGACGTTCACACGGAGGCAGGACTAGGAGCATGCTCAGGAAGGCCTCACGTGGCATCCTTGGTTTGGGTTAAGAGTACCCCGTGTCCCGGCTCAAGAAACATTGTGAATGTGCCACATGCAGCCCCCAGTCAGGTGGAGGTGCGTGTGGGGAGCCGGCCCGCGAGGGCGAGAGGCCGGGGTTCTGGCGGGTTCCTGGGGTCTTCCAAGGGCAGGTGGCTCAGACGTGGCTGGGTGTACGGAGGGAAGAGCCGGGCCAGGATAGGTACTGAGGACGAGGACACCCGGGCGACTGACTGCTGGTGTCCCCAGCCGCCCAGGCCGGCGGCAGGGGGTGGGGCTTCGCGGCTGAACGTTGGCGTAACCACAGCTGGTCGCGTGCTCGGGAGCCGCGGCGCGGGGGCCGCACGGCCAGCAAGCGTCCTCGCTCGGGTTCCCGCTGCCCTGGTGACTCTTCTCTGTTTTGGTCCGGAATTTAATCAAGGACTGAGCGTTTAAATCGCCAGGTGTCTTAAATTCTTTTTAACCTAGAATAGTTTTCTGGCCTCCCCCCTGACTTTGACCTTTCTCAGGGTTCAGGCTAGTGAAGCAGGGCGTTCCTCGCCGTTGGGGGGGAGGATGTCGCTGTCACACGCTCCTTACGAGTCAGACCCAGGTAGCGCCTCGGGAAAGACCGTGACAGTGGGGTGGAGTGAGGCGATTCAGGTGCTGGCAGCCAGGCTTCGCCACTGTAAAAACAAATTTTTTTAATAGTCACTTAAAACTTTGGTTTTAGTTGGTATAACCATTGGGCTCCAACTAGTTTAAACGCCCTAAATTGTAAACTCTAGCGTTTGAATATATGACCCTTCAGTTAAACATTTTTAATGGAAAAGGCAAAACCTCTTCATTAAAACGATTCAAAGACTTGTTAAACTGTCACTTCCTGTTCTGACAGCCACCGTCCAGTTCTGTCCAGCTTTTAAGCACTCTGTCTCTGCTTGGGAAAGTGTGCGTGGGTCTGTGCAGTGCCCTGTGAATGGCTCAGCCTGTCCCTTTGGGTCCCTCCCACTGTGGTTCCCAGAAGTTTCAGGGGTGGGCTTGGGGAGGGGCCGCCCTCCCGCACTGCACCTGTGGCTGGAGTTGAGGCAAATCTGTCAGCGATTCAGTGGCATTCTGCCTCACATGTCTCACGGTGACAGCACTCACCAGGCCACGCGGCGGCTCCCATCCGAGCAGGGTGGCTGCAGCTCAGAGGCCTTCAAGGGTCCCTTGGCCTCTAATCTGGGAGGCGGGGGTAGTCATTTGACATATCCGGCTAAACTAGAGTTTGGCGACGTTTCCACGGGTCTTAATCGCTGACTGCTTTGGGTTCACTGACAACGTGTTCCAGTGTCCCCAGGCCTTAGCTGGTGATCGCAGTCTCAGGCCTGTAGTGCCGCGGGCAGAGGGCCAGGCACACACTCCCTCGGTGGGGGCGGCGGCCTTGTGCTGCCACCGGCGGCAAGTCCCGTTCGTCTGAGCAGCCAGCCCTGACTCCTGCTTCTGTTTTCCAGGATATGTTCTCTGGCACACCCACCAAAGTCAGACACGTGGACTGCCAAGCAGAGGACGAGTTCGACTTGGAAGCTTGTTTAACTGAACCCTTGAAGGACTTCTCGGCCATGAGCTAACTGTACTGCGTGAGGCCACTGAGCACGTTGTCACTACCGGGCAGGTGGAGGGCCAGCCGGGTGTGCTCATGCATTTGTAACGGGGTGGTTTCTGTTAATAGTTTGTTATCTCATGGTGAATTGTTATTCTTGCCTTATTTTCTCAAGAAACAATTTTATGTATAGTGAGTGTATTTTGCATGTTTTAAATAGTAAATGGAACTAAGTGCAGTGAAAATTGAACTTAGAGCTATGTTGCAACAAACTCCAAGCCGACCGCCAAGCGCACATGGCCTGTTCCCGTGACGTTTTTGACGGTGGGTTGCCACTCGTCACGCAGCTGGTATGGCTTTGACCGTATGTTCACAGGACCAGCCTGGCTGCAGCTTTCTTTACTGGCATCTACGTGTTCTTGGAATCAGGCCTCTAATAGCTTTACGGAAACTTAATTTTTGGCCTTCTGTCAATGCATCGAAGTGGCTTTTCCCCTCGCATAGAGCACTGAATAGTCGGATATTAGATGGAGCTGTTGAATTCATGGATTTCATGTAAATTACGGTCTTAGCCTGGTCCTTGTCAGTAGCACGGGCAGGTCTTGTCCCAGGCGTGCCTGGCGGTCTGGGCTGCAGAGGGGTTTGGAAGGGACGTTTTTTACACAGTTAATTCACCATGTAAAAGTGCTGTAAATGATAATGTGTAATGTATACAGGTTTTCTGTTCAAATATTCAATTGTAAGCTTCTTGTTAAGACTGTTAAGTTTCTAATGCTTTTGTATGGAATACCGCCAGGGCGGCACCTGCGTGCGGAAGACCCAGGTGAGCGCCTGTCCGCCTCGGGCACGCGGGAGGACGGGAGGACGCACGGGGTGGCGGCAGTGTCCTGCCCGGTCTCGTTAACCTCACTGCGCCTGCTGAGGACGACCCTGTCTTATGGCGGGAGCTGGGGCCCAGTCACACTCTCGGTGTGCGCTTCCCTCAGACCCCAGGCCTCCTGCTCGAGGGACGTGCGTGTCCGGCAGACGTCTCTCGTGCACCAAGGAAGCCAGGGCCCTGGGCGCGGTGCTGCTGGGCAGCTGGGGTGACATCAGGGCGGTGCGGTCTACCCAAGAGCTGAGCGGGCGTTGGACTTGGGTCCTTGGTGGGCTGCACTGCCCATGGCACGTCTTCCAGCCACTGCTCGGACCCTGGCTGCTGCCACCAGCTCACAGACACCCCAGGAAGCGCCGAGCTTGCCTCAAGCAAGCGACAGGCTCCGGCAGCTTTGTTAGGGGTTTCAGAAGGGCGGAAGGCTGTCCCTGTTCATTTAACACATGTGTTGATCCCATACTTTGTGTCAGGCATAGTCCAGCAGACGCTGGGAACATGCAGAAGACAGGATGCTCAGGTCTGCACTCAGGCCGTAATGGGGACGGGAGGCCATAGATACGCTGTGAGGTTCAGGGACAGTAGAGGGCAGAGGGCGTGGGCAGTGCCAGGTGGTGGCGACATGTCTCTTCTGTGGTGTTTTCACAGGGACAGTCTGGGTGGGGGTGTGGGCTGCCGCCAGAATCCTCAGACGTGGGAGGACCGCAGGCCGGTGTGGAGGGACTTCGAGGCATTGTGAGGAACGTGGGGTGGTGGACCCTGAGGGTCCCTGGAGATGGCGGTGAGGGCGGGTGGGCCCTGGGGTTTCAGGGACTGGAGCAGTGGGCGTCCTTGCTGGGTCCGGCCAGCTTAGCAGCACCGCAGCGTGCAGTGTGGTGGGGGTGTGACATGCGCTGGGTGACTCTGGTCAGGTTTCTAGGCAGCACCTAAGGGACTGCTGGCTCCCCACTGCTTACTCTGAAGGGTGTCAGTCGAGAGAAGCTGATGCAGGATTTCCAGCGGCAAGGAGCAGCACCCGGCGGGCTCGGCTTCTCCGCCTTTCCGGATGGCGGATGAGGCTGCTGCGCAGAGGGCCCCCGGGCAGAGCTGGTCTGGTCGGAGGGAGGTGGGGTCAGGAGCTGGGCCATGCCGACGTGGCTTGCTAGGGCCCTGGGAACGAGCACGCCACCAAACAGCAGGGCTCCTGAGAAACTCCAGAGCTCATCTCAGCAGAAGCCTGGGTCAGAAGGCTTGATTGACACCTGTGCACGTGGCTCTTGTCTCATGAACCCTAATAAGATTCACAAGACACTCAAAACACTTTCAAAAGAATTATATTGGCAAAAACACTGCCAGTTTGGGTCGAAAGGCACAGGCAGTAGACATGAAAGGCCCTTGGACCCTTGAGATTCCACGGGCCGAGAAACTACTGAGCTGCAGATTTGGGCCCCTTTCATGGCAAAGTGGGAGACGGGCGTGGGGCCAGGAGCCCACAGGCAGAGCCAGGGCGTGGAAGGTGTCCCATGGAGCGAGACCGAGGCCTCGTCAAGGAACCGCCATGGCCAGCGACTCCTGTGTCCTTCCCGCTCTGCGCAGGAGTGTCTATAACAGTTACCCCAGTCTGCTGGGTGTGTGAGTGGCAGGCCTGGGACACAGGGCAGACAAGTCGTCCCTTTAGTCTAGAGGTCTCCGGGCTGAGAGGAAGCCACACCAGGAGAGCCGATCTCGGTGATGAGACCGGGCTTCAGGCTGATGCTGCAGCGGGTGAGATTGGAGGCCTGGGCAGGCCGGTGACTGACTTGTGGCAGAGGAGGCCAGCAGGAGGCGGGGCGGGAGTGAGTGAGAGATGAGGTCGGGTTGGGGTGCCGCCTGGGGGGACCTGGCTGTCCTCTGAGGGCAGCGGGGAGGCCCTGAGATGGGCATGACATCTGACTCAGCTCCTAGAAGAATCTACCCTGGCTACTAGCGTTTGCTTGACATTTAGGTTCTTAGAATTCTCTTAAGCACGGAGAAAGTCTCCAGGCTCTGGTGCTTGCCTTTAATGCTGACATAATCTAGTATTCTCCATGAGCGTTCCAAATAACCAGCAGGCTGGGGCGGGTTGCTTTATTCTCGACTTGTACATCGAACCAGGCAGTGTCAGAACTAAATTAAGTTTGTCCGGCATGATTAATTCTTCACGATCCCAGGCTGATGGCTATCTCGCTCCCGTTGGTGGTTCATTTTCCTATCTTCCCGTGTCTAGATGGACATGGCCAGCTTATCAGGGTTGTCATCCTGCATTCTCCGACTTATTTTTTCATGTATCACGAAGCCATTCTCGTTTCTTGCCGGTCCATCGGGATTCTGTCCTCCAGGTGCTCTTCTCAGCAACTCGGCCATCGAGTTGCTGATTCCTCTGTCCCTTTGGTGGGAAGACGAGATGGGGCCTCCCAGGTGAGTCAGCAGCCTCCGCCTGGACCGGAAGCCTGCACTCTGGACCCGTGCGAGTGGCTCTTCTGATTAAGGTAGGGTGTACAGCGTTTTTTTCCCCCCCATGTAGGCAAATTTGAAAGGACTGTTGGGTAAGGTCATGTTACTGTACTTGACAAACTGCAAGTGCCTTGCAAACGAACGTGTTAGCTGGCTCCGTGTGTGTGTGTGGGGGGAGAGGGTTGAGGAGGAGTGGGCCTTTTGATCGTCAGGTTACATATTTTATGTTTACGCATCTTGAGGAGTGTATTTACTTATGTTTTAATTTCACCTAAGCCACTGTGAGACTCACACTTCAAAGAGGCATGTAAAATTTTCTGGAAAAATACTTCCTTAGTGTAGGTGTGTAGGAAGGGAAGGCTCCAGATATTGCCACTAGGGGCTCGGTGACTGGCGTTCCAACACGGACACCAACTGCGTAGGTGCCCCAGAGGGCGCCTCCTGGCCCGGCGCCTCAGGGGCACTTTGTGTTCAGTGAGGAGCACAGACCTGCCATCTAGTCCCCGCTGTGAGATGGAGCCCTCATGTCCACATCTGCATCGTGTCCACCTCGCAGGCTGGCTCTAAGGAGAAGGTGCATGCCACACGCTTCCCAGTGCTCGGTGACGGCAGCTGTTTGGTTGCAGAGGGCCTCCCTGGACGTGTTGACAAAGCCCTGCACTTGCATTAATAATGGGCAGGGCAGGGATGGTTTTCGGCAGGACTGACGACCGCTGGCAACCAGGCACGGGGCTGTCGGGGACAGGCTCCCAGCTGCCACGTCGAGGCCCAGGGCGGGGTTGCCTCTGCCTCGGGAGGGCTCCTGGAACCAGTTCAGTGTATGCTGTCTCCCCTACCCCCGTGAACACCGAGACACGCAAGGGGCAGGTGGCAGGCCGCCCAGTGGCCCTGAATGCAATTTTGAAGGGGGTTTCCCGGTGAGACGGTGTCAGCGCATTCGCTGTGTTCTTAGGGAAAAGGCAGAACTTGTGAGTTTCCAGCATTTGCTCTGTGAAAGACTCTGTTAAGAGGTTGAAAAGACAAACTGCGGACTCGGAGGAATCCTTGCGAACCACATATCCGACATAGGACGTGTTTTTGTTATAAAGAACTCTGAAAATTCGAGAGTGAGAAACAGACGCAGCTGGGGCGTGAGGAGAAGGGCGAGAGGAGACATCTGGGTTACTGGGGGGGAAAGGCCCTCTCTGCGGTACCGTCTCCCAGTCCATGGATGTGGGTCTCCGTGTCACTCGTAAGTTCTTGAACCGCCTTCTGTAACGCTTTGTCGCCTTCCCCATAAAGGTCTCATAAAACCTCATAGGAACCTGATCGTTAGCCTGGTACTTTCTAAACGTTCCATGTTCTGTGTGTTGCATGTGAAAAGCATCGTCACTGTTGTATATTCATGTGTCCTGCTCCCTTGCTGACATCGTAACAGATTTGTTGTATGTTGACCATATCTTTTCTTGGTCTTTGTAGAAAACCATGTTTAGAATAAATAATGGCAGGTTCAGTTTTTCCTTCGCAGCCCTTATAACCTGTATTTGTTTCTTATATTGTGCTGGTGATGCTCTATAGTATACTCTTAAATTTTTAAGAGCCAGGGACTTGCCCAAGGTCACCAAGCAGCTCACAGGCAGGACGGGGACTGCCCGTGCAATAGGGACCCTGGTGTCGGAAGATGGGGGCTCCGAGCCCAGGCTGCGGGCAGGGCCCAGCCCTTCGCTCCAGCCTGAGCCACAGGGTTTCCCGGCCCAGAGGCCACTCCCGCCGCCTTATGTCGCCATCGCCTTCGCGTCCAGAGCATGCTCACGTGTGTGCGGGCTCCACCCCCGCCCCGGCGCAGGCCCCGCC